TGCTAAGTGCACCCACCTCCAACCTTTGACAAACCATCAGGCCTATCGCTACTCACTTTGCTTGCCACACGATGCAGCCAGGGCACGCAGCAAAACCGGTCATCAAGGTTGATGACCGCTTCTCCGGTTCTTCGCGAGGTACAGGGCGGGTACTCTAGCGAATCTCTGTGGTACACCCGCAGTGCGCTTTCGCGAAAAGCTACAAGGTAAGCGACAAGCTCTTTAGCAGGTCACTTTCGGACATGCTGGGTGGTCCGGCCGGGGCTCTTCAGAGCGAAACACCATTACTCTCTCCAGAACTTACGAGGAAGTAGTTTTCCTATCATATTCCTCGTTTGGCATTTTACTGGAGGGTCTGCATGTCATATTTTTGTGTTGGGAATGACTTCTTCCTCGTAAGTTTGACATGCTAAACTTGCTAGACTTGCTCGACTTCCTCGTTTGTCAGTGCAAACACTAGAATGTCCAGAAGCATCTAGTAAACAAAGAAGCCTACCATTTTTTTGTGATAATTTGGTAAACTTCCTCGTTAAACAGGATCAAGAGAGAGAGAGAGAGAGAGAGAAGGGTTCTTTAAATTCCTCGTTAGACTTGCACTTGAGGGCTTCGAGAGCTTCTTCGTTTGTTCTAATCAAAGCAGGTATTTGTGAATTCACGCCCAGCCATTTGGTTTACCAGGAAGTGTTTTAAAGCAAGTCCCAATCAACCTAACCAGGAAGTCACTTTGCAGCCTAACCAAGAAGTTGTAATTTTGCTTGTATTCTTCCTTGTTAGCTCCCAACCTATGAAAATGCAAAGCAACCCTGGCTTACCTGGAAGTGTATCTCCCTGGTCATTTTCCAGCAATCCCCGGGGATGCAGGGGCGCTCGGCTTCCTCGGTAGTGAGCATTGCATTTTCTGGCCTTCCTCGTTTGCTGATTGGGCTTACCTGTTTGTGGTCTATTCCCAGGGGGATTTACATGGTCACCAACTTCCTCGTAAACAGCGTCCTCGCCGAGATTTGCTTCCTCGTAAGTTCTGAGGAGTGTAATTCGATGAGATTCTGTCGAAGGAGGCCTTCATACACCGGACCTTTCCTGTGATTGCCGATGCTCGCAATGGTCGTCCGTCAGGACCAGGACGCCAGGTGTCAGGCTGTATGTGTAAGTCCCAATGCGCGACTGCAAGGCACCCGGCTTTGCAATCCCTTTCAGTCCACTTTGCAGAACAGCCATTGGATCACTATGCTTGGAAGTAGCGCCAAGCTCCGAATCAGTCTCTTTCCGCAGGAAGGGGATTGCAAAAGAATCACAGCACATCCGTCTTAAAGAATCACGATCACATGATCACATGTGTTTGGCTCAAAACACACTTCGTGTCCAGAGTTGTTGGATGTTGTTGGTCCCTTTGGCATCTTCCGGGTTCCGGACCGGTTTTGAGCCATGCACAGTTGTGTCGTTGAAGTTTACACACTCGGCCGCTGCATTAACCACGGACGGGTCGCCAAGTGATTTCAAGCAGGGCCTCCTGAAACACTGTGCGTGAAAGCTTTTGCCTTGCCACGTCTTGATCGACGCCTGCTGTTGTATTTCGAGACTAAATCCATTGCGCAAAATGTCAAAAGAACACTTTTCATGTCAGTCATCTCCACTCACTATTCCCTCCCCCACGGTCCGTTTGTTTGTCTTTTTCTGGTCTAGTCTAGTGGAAGCAGTGCCCATCCCAAAATGATACAAAGAGCCATGGAATCCATGAGTGAGTTCTTTTGGAAGGGGATAGGGTATATGTTTCACAAACCAATTCATCAATACAGCAAACGAGGGTCCAGAGAGAGAGAGAGAGGGAGAATTGTTGCAATATGAGGGGGCCACATTGCCACGTGTCCCTGGAAACCGCTAAAGTTGAAAGCTCAATTGAAAAGACTCCAAATCGAAGGATCTTACCCTTCCCTGCAACCGCAAAAAGTGAGTTTTGACATTGGGAGAATTTTGCAGGCAACCTAATACAAATTCCGTGGGAATCTGCAGAACATGACAGTTGCACGCCACAAGTCACAGGTGTGCAAGGGTGCAATCTCAAGACCAAATTAAAACTGTTGGGCAGGACCAATGTGCATTTATTTACCTTCAAGAGGGAGTGGGCATTAATCAATTGGAAAGGGTCCTGTAGGCGTTCTTTGACCCCAAATTGGATAGTGACTGCCTGGCAGTGGAACTACCGACCAAAAACCAAAAGGGCATCTTAGTTCGAATCCTTCACAGCTGAGACGTCGATGGGGTGACAGGGCGTATGCTTTCGGCTGCAGAGGCACAGGTAGCGACTCTGGCCCAAAACTGGACGTTGTGAGTTGCAAGACGCAACAAGCAGCTGCAGGTTAGCACCTCCACGCCATCAGCCTCGGAGCGCACATACAGAGTGACCTTGTTTCCGCGGAGCTTGCTCGTTAAAAATAGACTCCCCTAATCTGTACATACCAAACATTAAGTTTCCCTGAAAATCTAGGAACCAAATGAATAGTGCGAGCGCTTCTTCAAGGAAGCTCCCCCCCGCCCTCGGGCGGGGGAAGCTTCCTTGAAGAAGCGTGAGCTGTCGGTACATATGTAGTAGTTTAAGTAGCTAGTAGCGAACTTCTCTCTTAATTAAGTAGCCGCCTACTTAATTAAGTAAGGAGGCAGGGCCGAGCCGGCGTTTAAAAGAGGTGCTGTCTTGACCTCTCATGGCCCCTGGGAGTCAGACTGATAGGGGCCTCGGAGCGAGGAGAAGAACCACTCAACCACCCCAACGAACCACGTGAAGAACCAACGATGTTCCACCGGGCACCTTCCAGAGCTGCTTGTCTTAATCGTCGTAATGTGTCGGCATCGCCTCGGCCGAGTTGAACTAGGCCCAAACACAAGGCTTTGTTCCACCGTCCTGTGTTCAAATTGTTTTAAGTTTAAGGGACAAATTGACAGGAAACCCGTAGGTTTGGAGGGTGAAACCATGTGAAACCCATGGTGTGCTTTAAAAAGTTCCCTCCACGCAATCCATTGAGTTTTGAATGTCTCGGGAGGGTTCCCTTTGTTCCCTGCCTGCTTCAGCATTTCTTCAAGTTCTTTTCCAGAAGCAAACGGAGCGGATCCATCCCACATTGCCTGCAGCAAAAGTCTACATGGGTCAAGTCCCTTCAGTGAAGTAATCAAGTCGTTTGACTTCTGGACGATTCCCATTCTTTTGCTAGTGGAACTAAGTCACTCATGACTATCGTGATGAGGGCATGTCTACAAACATGTGCATCTTGGAAAGTGGCTGCTCTCCGAGGCTCAAGCAGGTGGAATCGCTGGCATTAGTACGATCTGGCCCATAGCAGGAACCTCAGACTTAGTCAGGCCCAGCTGTCAGAGACTTTTCACTTCCAGTGCTTGCACAGAACATCTATACATATATATATTTCTGAGGATGAATCCATGGCCGGAGCACTGCCACTCATGAGGTCTGACAAACCTCGCGTGAAACGGCTCAGCTAATCAGGAAACACCACTGGCCACATGCAACAGACATGCAAAATTAGTCATGGTGGTTGTGTCTCACTCTCATCCTAATTAGTGCAACACTCTGAGCGGGAAGCCAACTGCGCTTGGCACCATGTGATCATATCCTGTCCTGTCTAGGATCTCTGTCATCCTCTATTCCATCGTGAAATCCTTTATGATCCTGTATGTTTTTTGTGCACGTTTTCCGTTTGGGACACCGCCAGCATCATCTTGACACATCATGGCGCTTCACGCCAGTGACAATCCAACAATGTGCGCATGGCAACTTTGACATAAACCAAGAAAAGGCACCGCCAACACACACAAATTCTCCAGACTGACTTGAAAATTTAAACCCAGGAGCACAGTCCTTGGTAGGCAGTTGTTGTCCATCAAGGGCGGCGTTCCTCTCCCGCACAAATCGCGCCAAAAGTCAGGCTCACCGCCTAAACATATCTATATAAACGTTATATGTCACTATATATATAGTATAAAGAGCATTAAAGAGCCCTAGAGACCATGACAATGATTTTGTTTGGTTCCTTTACCTGTTGTACTAGTATATATGATTATAATATATACATACTACTGCAAGGAATTGCAACTTCCCCCGACTTCCTCTTTCCACAAGTTCTCCCAGCTACATCACGCCCGATCAGCTTGGCTGTTCTCAGTGCTTCCGTGACAAGCGAGGCTCCTCCACGTTGCCACTTCTCATCAGGATTGAACTCAGAAAGGACAAGACTTTGAGAAAGCACAACCATCGAGAGAATGAAGAATCAGCCAAAGAAGCGATCTGATGCACTTGTTTTAGGCGTTCAATTGTTGGACGTTGCCAGTGGACGTTCAATGTCTAAAGGTCGGTGTTTGATTCGTCGTGGGGGCTTCGCTTGTCTACTCTTGGCCGATGGTCATTCTGAGCACCCAGCCGACAGGAATCGCACCTGAAGATGAAGACACCCAATACCCTTTCCCTAACATAGAAGTCTCAATTCCAGATGGCTAAACATCTCGGCAACTCAAGAGCTTTGCGTAACTGGCATCCCATGCCTGCTCGCCAATTCCAAGTGGGTCCCAAGCAAGTTGCCTGGCCGTGTTTCCATGGCTCAATGATGCTCAGTGTCTCAAGTTGCTTTGTTGCCCCCTTCAAGTTCCAGCCCAAGATAGAAACTGACCTAAAGGACCAAAGCCGATCCAAGATGCGCCGCAAAGAGCTGTTCAGCGCTGGGCGACACCGCAGCAGTCCCCAGTCAAGCCCTGCAGCCATCCCCAAAGCTTTTTTGCCCCGCTCCGGTGAAACGCTTTGTGACAATGCTTCGTTGCGTGGTGACCTCGTTGATAAAGCATATGTGTGCTCATGGGGCTGAGCAAGTAGCCTTTTCTGCTGTGTTTGGACTACACCTACGGCATGTTTGCATTGTTTTGCTCCTGGGGTCTTCAGCTGGTTATCCTGTTTGAAATATTTGAAACGTTTTGCATTGTTGAGCTTTATTGCACGTTCTTCTTGTTCAGGACATGGTTGGCGGCTGCGTCAGCCGTACGCTTTTCTTGTGGATGAAGGCAGCACCATGCTCCTCATACCTCAGTGATCCACTCACCCAGAGCCAATGAGGCAAACCATTCTTTGTGAGGTCTATAAGGGATCAAAACTGGCAACTAGTGAATCATGGCGCCTACTTAATTAAGTAAGGAGGCCATGGGCTAAAAAAAGAAGAGAGAGAGAGAGAGAGGACGAGATCCGCATTTTTGTCTTTAAGATCCGTCTCCCTGAGACAATGACTCGCTTCTGGTCATGAAGGTATCCAGCAGGTCTGGCATGGAAGCCACGATTGATCCGCCAGTGAAGGCAGCGTACCTGGGCTCGGCCGGGGCTGTCAGCGATGTGACACCATCGTCTGCGACGCCGTCGGGGTTTGGAGGGCCAGGAGATGAAGGTCATACTTGGAATTGGATCATGAAGGGACGAGGCAATGCTCAAGAAAAGCTGAGCACATGCATGCAAATGCTATTAGGTTGCAGGCCATCGCTATGAGGCCATTCCTATTATATTATAAGTTCATATTGGATCCACTTGTTGCCACCAGGACCCCGCGCGTAGGGCTTTTCACCAACTTGACTGCTGCCTTGACCGTTGTGGGGAGAAGCTTCTGCAGCTCCTGTGCTTGAGTGAAACAGCGGTGTGGCACTGGCAAAGAGTTCAAAACAACCTCTGACACCTCTGACTCTGCAATGCCAAGTGCTAAGCGGTTGCAAAGTCAAACCTGGGTAGGCGGGCCTCCTCGACACGATGACACATGCCAGGAAATGACATGGACCCGCCGGAGAGCACCTGAGCAAATCGTTCAGATCGGTTCAGATATTCTTGGAGAATCTTGGATATACCATGAAAGTCATGGTGCTTTCATCGAAAGAAGTCGAAAGGTCGGTCCCAAAGCGTCGGACAATGTTGCCCGCGAGCGCTTTTTGCGTATCTCGACCTCGGTTTTTCTATCCATGATTAAACATTGATAACCATGCTGAGCACACCGAGCTTGGTTCATGACCGCTTTCCAAAATACTCTCAGCTGCCATCTTGTGGATGCCCTGCTCCTGACCAGCTTCAAAAACACCCGGTCCTCGTCCGTCACTGGAGGCGGTCTCCCGCCTCCTCATCACGCTTCAGAAGGCGAGCAGGTTCAAACAAGGCCTGCAATGTTCAAGAGGGAAACAAAGGACTACTCCGATTGGTCGTCACATGATCCGTCATATGAGGATATCGCATGAAGAAATATATTGTTACCATCGAATCAAGGGACTGTCAAGCAGTCCCCGTCCGTCACTCGAAGTCGGGTTGACTTGAGCCACTTCCAAACAGGAAGTCAGTAGGTTCTTCGTGCATTCCATGTCTCGGGCAGTGGCGTGTGGCATGTGGCATCTCTTGCAAGAGGGCTATTTCCAGGGCAACAAAAACTCGCAACCGGACCATAAACCCATAAACAAAAAGCCTGGGAAGGGAGGGTACAAAAGCCAGTGTCTGCAAGGCCGGCGCGCAGGTGATTGTTTTGAGCATCCTTTGCAGCTGGAAGCATCAAGTATAGTCATACCGGCGAATTGAAATGTAGCTAGATGCCTGACCCCTTATGTTCATCAACCCGAAGTCGTAAACAGTCACACTTAACAAGTGAAGCGAAAGCTTCGATTGCCATCGCTCACTGGCGCCATAAGAGGTCCTCTTTTTGTTGGGCTATGAAGAACTCGATAAAAACAAAAGCAAAACGCCTATCTCACCCCCTCTCTGGTTTTATCCAGCCGCCTATTCACCCACTCATTAATTCTGTTTGCCACCACAACCTACACACATCTATACTTCCTCTTCTCTGAATCTCTCCATATCTCTATGGTCCTATCTCCCCCACTTCTCTTTCTGTTGGCAACCTCTCTCCAGCTCTACACACATCCATCTATCCACATCTACTTCATCTCTCTATCTCTCTCTGACTTGTCCTCCCCTTCCATACTTCCATCCATCCATCCATCCATCCACCCACCTGCATAGCCATTCAGGACCTATCCACAAACTTTCCTCTTTCATCCATGAATCCGACCACTCGTCCGCGCATCATCAACATATTTGGGCCTCTCCCCCCCTCCAACCCCTTATCTCACTTCGACTACGCCCAGCCTACTGCTGGCTTTTGTGAACATGCTTCGCCACATGATTCATGCCATTCATGTCCGTGCCACTTCGTGCTCACTCTGAGATCAGCGCATCGACGCACTTGGTGAGGCATTCGGAATCTCGAGTGACCACCTGAAGAGGTGCAACGATGCATGGCGTGGTTAGACTGTCGTCCATGTAATGCCAGGCCATGCTGACTTAGAGATAGAGCGAATTCTGCGCAGCCTTGCCATCAGGCAAGTAGAACGAGAGCTGCTTCGAGGCCTCCTGCGCTGAAAAATATTAGCGCCGAATCGGAAGAAGCTCCAGTCCAACCTTCAAACCTTCCATTTCATCTCTATCACAGCCTCCACAGGGTTCTTGTGGCGCACTCTGCACATGGACTCCTCACAAAACAAAGCTGGTGAAACTCCACGGGACCCTTTCAACTGACTCCACAGTCCTTCACCTCCTTCCATGCCCTCCATCCGACCTGGCAGTTCTGGCTGCCAAATCACTGCCGCGCAGTTTGTTTTCCTCACACCGATCCCAAACGCGCCTCGCTGGAGCTAGGTCGGTGGTTGATCTCCTTACTCATCAGCTCCCCCAAGTAGGCCGTCAAGTCCCGTCCGCCGTAGTCGCGGCGCTTCACGGCGTTGAAGATCACATAGCTGTCGTAGAGCGGCACCTATCAGTTCTTGGAACAGATCAGTTCTTGGACATCCGAAATGAACAGTGAAATGACTTGACACTCACGATCCAATTCCGGGGACTGGGCAGTTTGTGCCACGCCATCGCCAACCTCTATGACGAGTCCAGTTCCTCAACCACCCAGCCAGCACGTATCAAATTGAAATGTGGAGGAGGAACGAGAAAAAGCATATCGATAAATCTTGGATGGCATTTGGACATGTAAATGAACAAGGATGACCATCAAGGATGAAGATGGTTTTCCGGTCAGACATTCAGCTTGGTGGCGACTGTTGGTCGCATAGAGCGCCAGGGCCCCGGAGTGCACCACCTGCCACCGATTCCGGCGGACCAAACCGGGTCACTGGTAGAACCTCGATCGTCTTGCCCGGCCACCTTCCGATTCTAAAGGAACCACAAGGGCTAACCCTTGTTCCATCCCTATAATTCAAACCGAACAAAAAGCAAAATGCACGTGCTGCAACGCTCTGCAACGACCAACCATCGCGCTCTCCCGTTGCGCCTGGAGCGCGGGAACATGCAATTCTTCGAAGAACCTCTCCACCTTTGGTCTTCTGAGTTCGATGCCAAACAGTTGATCATTTCAGCAAATTTGTGGAGCAAACAGTCGAAGTACTGAGTTCGATGCCAAAAGCTCTCGATGAACGGTGGGGTTCAACGGGGCCTCAGCGAGTCCGAATTTGTTGGGGCGAACATCTGGGCGCACACCAAACAACAGGTTCTCCAATCCAGGCAGTCTAGACTAAGGGAAAATAAGACTGTTGACCTGACCTTACTATGACCTCACTATGACTGGTGAAGGTGACCTTACTATGACCTTACCGACTGACCTCGCCGACTGGAAATCCAGACTGGAGAACTACAATGTGCATGCCTCCGTCAGGAGAACTGGATGCTTGCTAGCATCAGCCTGCCACGTCACGACGTCACTGTCCAAAAACACATGTTGAAAGCCTCTTTTTCGAGGGTGACAGTTGGTCTTCTCCTTCAACATCCTCTTCTTCTTTTTTGTGAAACCGTGCCCTCCACCCTTCCGCCCAAACAACCTTGCCAGCACGGCCTTCATTTCTTCCAATGCTGCTTCTATGACTTCCAGTAGACCCTCCCACCTCGTTGTCTTCGCAGTCCCAGGATTGACCAGGAAGACCGGGAAAGCCAGCGAAATGATGAGAATGTATCAGGCCAGTTGGAAAGGCATTCGAAACTTGGATGGTGTTACATGTTGGAAGCGTCTTGCGACGATCGGATTAATCCACGTCTCATGCTTCCTGGTACTGTTAAGGTTCGTGCACATTCATGCTCTCATTTGGTATAGCAAACTCCCAAAATGCTAAGAAGTGCACTGAGAGACAATGCCGTGGTCCATGACTGGAAACCTGGCCATTCGACCCAAATTCAGGTTGACAAGTCGACGATAAGTTAAACTGATCATGTTGAAAGCCTGGCAGTATTGGCTTGCAGCGCTTTGGCAAAGTCCTGCAAAAAAGCCGGCGTTGGCAATGCATTGGAAATGCGTTGCATTGCTGCCAGTTGTACTTCAAGGTGGCTGCGAAGCCACTTCACCTCTGACAGCATCCTTGCATAATGACTACAGAATGGCTTGATGTTGCCCATCGTTCAGTTGCTGCTGTGGCCGACTAGAACTACTAGAATCCATTGCTGTTTTCTCATAAGTTCTGGCGCCAACCAATTTGATACCTCGACTCGAAACTAAGTTGAGATACCTCTTTGGATTGCTGGCCTCGCCCCCAGGAACATTTCGAGAAGCTCGCAGTGCCGTGAAGACATTGTCGTGAACCACCTGTCTTGGAATAACCGTTTTTCTGGATTTGGTGCCGACAAATCCAGTGTTTGCACAAGGAATCGTTCACAAGCTAGCTTGCTCCAACCGATGGCAAGGATTGAAGCTTTAAGCCAACAAATGTTAAGTTTCCCTAAAAAATCCAGAAACCAAATCATCAGTGCGAGCGCTTCTTCAAAGCTTCCCCCACCGCCTTTAGGGTGGCGGGGGAAGCTTCCTTGAAGAAGCGTGAGCTATCCTGCGTCCATACTAGTAGCTACTTAAGCTACTAGCTACCTAGCTTCTACTACCTACCTCTAGCGGCCTACCCCCCCGGTCTTTAAAAACAAAAACACACAAAAACATCTTTGGAAGGGTCCCAAGCTGCGGCCAGGAAGCCCTTGGCTCACACTCCCCGGCAAATCCAACCTGACAGACTCTCGATGTAAGCTTAGTGCAATTGATGGACTCTCATGGTGGTCTTCCTTCGACTTTGCCTCTCTTCAGTTCGGATGATGGTGCATGTGCCGTCATTGTCACTGTTAGCAGTTTTGCATGTCGATTTCGCTGGGATGAAGCAAGGGCAAACCAAAATGTCATTTCAATGGAAAGGTGGGCTGCTGGAAGTCGTTGCAATCCACGGAAATCAGTTTGTATTTTACAGTTTCGCGAGCCTTGATGGTTCCAGAACCATTGTCCAGAACAATGGGCGGCCCCTCCATCAGGCTGTTGCCTTCCCCATGAGGAACCAATGGACCCAACGGACCTGTTCCTGGTTCGGTAGCCATGTGTCTCTTTGCTTCGGTAGAGAGGTGAAGAATGGTGGAGAGGTGGTGTGGAAAGCTTGTGTAGTCTGGTGTCCTCGTTTCCCGGAGTCGGTCCTAAACTCCATGAATGAGCCAGTTTCACCTCGCTAATTCACCGCTAATTCACCAGATCAGCTGAGATCATCTGAGATCCTGTTCCTCAAAAAGCGCTTGAACCCATCGGCCAGGCCAAGTGGTCAGAGTCTGGACTTTTGCACAGGGCCCCAGAAGGACCGCAAAGTTCTTAAGCAACACGTTATTACCGTTAGTTCCAAATCAATTTGGCAGATTCCGTCTGCTCAAATCTTTTGAAAACATCGTCAAATCATTGGAAGAACATGGCGGGTCGTCCGTGACGGAGTTGTCGGTTCTTCATCGAAGCTTGAAGAGGATTGCCTCTGCTCTCCGTGAAACCACACAATCAAGAAAACAAGAAAATCCGTTTGACGTACCGAAAAAACTGTTGGTGTTCCATGGATAGACATTTTTTCCGGGAGTTTCTTTCAGGTTTTTCCGGGAATTTGTTTCACGGTTTTTCCCCTACTGTTTTTGCTTTTGCTTCTGCTGGGAGTGCTTTACAAGCACTAGGAGCAGCAGAAAGGGCAGGGGACGAAGCACCATAGCCAGCGTGACAGTGACAAAGGGAGGGAACAGAAAAGGTATTCCACTTACTAGGGACTTCTTTGCGGTTGTCTTTAGCTTCACTGGTTTCGGGTTTCTTTGGGCTCGGTTTCTTGTCTTTAGGGTTTCTTTAGGCGTTCTTCCGGAAAAGGCATCCCACTAAACAAAGGAGAAGTAGGAATGAGGAAAGAGGAGAGAGGAACTATTATAATAGAGACTTCTCTGCGGTTGTCTTTGGGCTTCAGTGATTTCGGGTTTCTTTGGACTAAGCAAAGTAGAAATCCACCTTTGTGGCAGCGTCAACGCCAAGAAAATAGTCGTTGTGGTAACTGTGGTAAGACTCGTAGCGGGGTGGTCCGAGTGATAGAGGTATTGGAAATAGTAGGGGTAGGGCGCAGCGCCTCCCCCGCAATGCAAATCAAATATAGACAGCGCTGGGCTGCTTCGTTTCTTGATTGGTGTAATTGGGTGTCAAAGCTCAAGGTGAAGGTCTTATCATCCAACTTTGTGGCAGTGTCAATGCAAAGAAGATAGTCAGCAGAAGCAAAAGCAAAAGCAAAGGCAGAAGCAAAAAGCAAAAGCGGAAGGAAAAGCAAAAAGCAAAAGCAAAAAGCAGAAGCAAATGCAGAAGCAAAAGCAAAAAGCAAAAGCAGAAGCAAAAGCAGACGCAGAAGCAAAAACAAAAAGCAAACGCAGAAGCAAAAAGCAAAAGCAAAAGCAGTAGGGGAAAAAAAAAAACGCGGAAAAAAAAACTCCCAGAAAAATAGGGGTTCCGTGTTCCATGTGTTGCTAACACCAACAAGGTTATGGCCGAAGTCGGGTCTGTCATGTCACCCTTGGCACTTCTTGACACTTCTTGACACTTCTGATCAAGGTCTGTATCATCTCTGCCTGTCGCTTTCAAAGGATCCGTGATAGCCATCCGATGTGGACGCATAAGCATCGCTGCCTGAAGAAGGCGTGAAGGAAGATGTGAAAAACGGCAGCAGGAACCTTCTACTTAATTAAGTAGTAAGGGAGTAGGCCACAAGGCTAAGTTACCTTCTAGGCATGGACGCAGGATAGCTCACGCTTCTTTGAAGAAGCGTGAGCTATCCAGTGCCCAGTAGCTAGGGGCGTACAAGTTGGCCCTGAAGTGGGTAGTCTCTACTTAATTAAGCAGTAGGGGGGTACGCCACGGGCCTAAAAAAATCTCTATCCAAAGCGGCCTTCAAAGCTGTCCCTGCGGTCGATCAGATCCTCAGGGAGTAGGCGCAACGGTGCGCCAATGCTGCAAGGTCCAAGCACCCTAAGTCCGTCTTCCAAAGCAAAGCATTCGAGCAAACATGTGAGGTGACTTGGAAATACTTACAACAAAGACCCCAAAG